CTTCCTGGGGGGGCACTCACCACTCCCCAAGGGCACCCATCTCATCCTTGGATGCTTTATTAAAATGCACTCATTCATGTGCTGATTCCTTCCACTACATGTATTACCTAATTTGTGACATTGTGTCACGTGCCAGAGAGATAATTCTGAATAAAACGTAGTCATGGGTCTCCAGGAGCCAGGTATGCTCACCTCCCACCCTCCTGCAGTTAACAGTCATCCTCACCACACGCTTATGTACAAACATTGTTTACTTATTTATTACTTTTTTTTTTGAGACAAAGTCTCACTCTATAGCTCAGGCCAGAGTGCAGTGGTGTGATCTCACCTCACTGCAACCTCTGCCTCCCGGGTTCAAGCTATTCTCCTGCCTCAGCTTCCCGAGTAGCTGGGACTACAGGCGCACACCACCACATCCAGCTAATTTTGGTAGTTTTAGAAGAGACGAGGTTTCACCACATTGGCCAGGCTGGTCTCAAAGTCCTGACTCAGGTGATCTGCCTGTCTTGGCCTCCCAAAGTGCTGGGATTACAGGCATGAGCCACTGTACCCAGCCAAAATTCAGTTCATAACCAAATTTTTTATGTGTTTTCTGCTTTCACTAAAAGAATAAACTGTTTCCTTCTTTATTTCAGTTTAATAAACCATGGATTTTATTTCATGCTTTGCAAAGCATAAGGGCTCACTGATGTGCGCTTTTTAAAATGAATTACACGACCGGGAGTGGTGGCTCACAGCTGTAATCCTATCACTTTGGGAGGCTGAGGCAGGAGGATGGCTTGAGTCCAGGAGTTAGAGACCAGCCTGGGCAATGTGGTGAAACCTCATCTCTTCTAACACTCATCTCTACAAAAAATTAGCCCGGCATGGTGATGCATGCCTGTAGTCCCAGCTACTTGGGAGACTGAGGTGGGAGGATCACTTGAGCCCAGGAGGTAGCCTGCAGTGAGCTGAGATTGTGCCACTGCAGTCTAGCCTCGATGACAGAGCAAAATGCTGTCTCAAAATAAATGAATAAACAGGGCCGGGCGTGGTGGCTCACGCCTATAATCCCAGCACTTTGGGAGGCCTAGGCGGGTGGATCACGAGGTCAAGAGATCAAGACCATCCTGGTCAACATGGTGAAACCCCGTCTCTACTAAAATACAAAAATTAGCTGGGCATGGTGGTGCATGCCTGTAGTCCCAGCTACTCGGGAGGCTGAGGCAGGAGAATTGCTTGAACCCAGAGGGCAAAGGTTGTGGTGAGCCTGGATCGTGCCATTTCACTCCAGCCTGGTTAAAAACAGTGAAACTCCGTCTCAAAAATAAATAAATAAATAAACAAACAAACGAAAATTTAAAAAGTGAGATTAATTCCACAATTAACCTTTCCAAAATCAAGCAATAACTTTTCTTATGAGTCTCCCATGGTCAAACCCCTGTTCTGAGTATTGTGGGGAGGACAGAGAAACTGGGGGTTTAACGACTTGGGAAGACTGGGTCTTTCTATGTGCACAGCTCTGTCTGTTAAAGACTAAACAACTGGTGCCAAGTGCAGCAGCTCACACCTGTAATCCCAGTGCTTTGAGAGGTTGCGGCAGGAGGAATGCTTGATCCTAGGAGTTTGAGGCTGCAGTGAGCTGATTGCACCACTGCACTCCAGCCTGGGTGAGAGTGACACCCTGGTTCGAAAAGTAAAATGGCTGGGCACGGCGGCTCACACCTGTAATCCCAACACTTTGGGGGGTGAATTGCTTGAGTCCTAGAGTTCAAGAGCAGCCTGGGCAACATGGCAAAACTCTGTCTATAAAAAGTAGCTGGGCACTGATGTGTGGCTGTAGCCCTAGCTACTTGGGAGGCTGAGGTGGGAGGATCACTTGAGCCTGGGAGGCGGAGGTTGCAGTGAGCTGAGATTGCACCACTTGCACTCCAATCTGGGTGACAGAGTGACACCGTTTCTAAATAAATGGTCAGGCACGGTGGCTCACGACAGTAATCCCAGCACTTTGGGAGGCTGAGGAGGGCAGATCACTTGAAGTCAGGAGTTCAAGACCAACCTGGCCAACATGGTGAAACCTGAGCTCTACCAAAAATATAAAATATTAGCCAGGTATGGTGGCATGTGACTATAATTCCAGCTACTTGGGAGGCTGAGGCAGAAGAATCACTTGAACCCAGGAGGCAGAGGTTGCAGTTAGCCAGCCTGGGAGACAAAGTGAGACTCTGTCTCAAAAAATACATATAAATAGATAAAATGTAAAATACAAAACAAATAATCCTGGCAGGAGCTGCTAGAATGAGGGGAGGAAGGCCGGGGAGAAGGGAACTGGAATTGGGTTGGATTTGGCTAAGCAGCAGGAAGTGCAAGGCATTCCAAGCAAGGGGGAGAGCATCTGCAGGAACAGAAGCAGCATGAGCAGCCTGGCTCCACAGCGTGTGAAAAGGCTGGAAGGTGGCGAGAGCCACTTCAATTTTATCCTTGAGGCAAATGGGAAACTCCCAAGGGTTGAGTGGGGAAACAATGCCTAAAATGAAAGTCTGAGCATGAAGTAGAATGATAGGATTAAGCATGTAGGCTGGATTCTGCAATAACTGCAATGTGCCGAACACCATCCATTGGCTTCTGAATATTTGCAGTTTATTTTTAAAAATTATTTTATTGCCAAGAAATATAAACACTACTGTTCTGGTAAAAAAAAAAAAAAAAAAAAAAAAGTTAAGAGTTTCTCTTGCTGTTTTATGCAAAGTTTTTAAAGCCTACCCTTGTTATACTGGTATCACCCCTACTTCTGATTTCAAACAAATGTTCACAGTAAGGGTGTAACAAATCCTTGTTCAACAACACGAGGAGAGCCAGCTTTTAAAATAAAGTAGAAAAATAGGTCAGGTGCGGTGACTCACGCCTGTAATCCCAGCACTTTGGGAAGCCAAGGTGGGCAGATCACTTGAGGTCAGGAGTTCAAGACCAGCTTGGCCAACATGGTGAAACCCTGTCTCTACTGAAAACACAAAAATTAGCGGGCGTGGTGGCGCACACCAGAAGTCCCAGTTATTCAGGAGGTTGAGGCAGGAAAATGACTTGATCCCGGCAGGCAGAGGTCGCAGTGAGCCTAGATCTCGCCACTGCACTCCAGCCTGGGTGACAGAGGGATACTCTGTCTCGGAAAAAAAAAAATATTAGCTGGGGCAGGGTGCGGTGGCTCAAGCCTGTAATCCCAGTGCTTTGGGAGGCCGAGGCGGGAAATCACAAGGTCAGAGGTTTGAGACCAGCCTGGCCAATGGGAGAAACTCCGTCTCTACTAAAAATAAAAGAAATTAGCCAGGCATGGTGGCAGGTGCCTGTAACCCCAGCTACTCTGGAGGCTAAGGCAGAAGACTTGCTTGAACCTGGGAGGCAGAGGTTGTAGTGAACTGAGATCATGCCATTGAACTCCAGCCTGGGTGACAAAGTGACACTCCATCTCAAAAAATAAAAAATTAGCTGAATGTGGTGGCACACACTTGTAATCCCAGCAGCTACTTGGGAAGCTGAGGCAGAATTACTTGAACCCCAGGAGAAGGGGAGGTTGGAGGTTGCAGTGAGCTGAGATTATGCCACTGCACTCCAGCTTGGGTGACAAGAGTGACTGAGACTCTGCCTCAAAAAATATACATTAAAAAAAGTAAAATAGGAAAGCACATCAGCAGCCTGCCAACGGACTCCCCAGCCTTGGTGAGGCCCAGTGTTCTGGGAGGCAGATCCAAATTCTAGGCCTAGTTCACCCACTGGCAGGCTGGTGCCCTTGGGCAGGTCACTTCTCTGGGCTCAGTTTCTTCATCTGTAATATGGGTGGGATCAAATCCCATCTTCTAAGAGTTTGTCCTCCGGAGTCAGACAGATCTGGGTTCTACCACTGCCAGTTCTGTCATCTTGTAGCTTCAGTCTTGCCATCTCTGACTTGGAGATATTAACAGTAACTCCTCACTGTGTTGTTAGGGTTTAAAGGAGATAATGTATGTGAAATGTTAGCAAAACACTGTTAGCTACCCTGATTTCCAGTTTCAGAGCTCTGAGGTCCAGGTTTATGCCACATGCAGTGAGGTTGTATGACGGGCTGTGGTGTGACACCATTTCAGAACTCAGGGTCTGCACAGTTGGTAGAAGGCCAAAGGAGACCTAAGAACTCTGTTCAAACACTTGGAAGGCTGGTATGGAGGCTGGGCGTGGTGGCTCACACCTGTAATCCCAGCAGTTTGGGAGGCTGAGGTGGGTGGATCACCTGAGGTCAGGAGTTCAAAACCAGCCAGACCAACATGGTGAAATCCTGTCTCTACTAAAAAATACAAAAATTGGCTGGGCTTGGTGGCTGAGGCAAGAAAATTGCTTGAACCCAGGAGGTGGAGGGTTGCAGTGAGCCGAGATCACACCACTGCACTCCAGCCTGGGAGAAAAGAACAAAACTCCATCTCAAAAAAAAAAAAAAAAAAAGACTGGCATGTAGAAGGAAACTGTTTTCTCTACGCTTCTCCAAAGAATGTCACCAGACCCAGGGGAGGTGCAGTATTAATTTCTAACAATCTCGGCTGCCTGCCAAATGGAATGAGCTACTTCATATGGCAGTAGTGAGTCCCCTGTCTCTGGAGGCATTCAAACAAAAGCCAGATGGCCATTTATCAATGATCCATGTAAAATGCTATACAAAATAAAACCTACCTAAGATCTCTTCCAATTCAGACTATATTAAAGAACTTCTAAAGTCTTTGTGATGAGACATATTTGGGCTAAGTTTCAAGAGATCAAGCCAAAATCAGTATGTGGGTTCATCTGTGATAAAAATGTTTGTTTTGCTTTTACAGTTTCCTCATTTGGCTGTTGGATTTTAAGCAAAAGCACCCAAGAAAAACAAGGCCTGTTCAAAAGCAAGGCAGCTTCCTTTTGCTGGTGCCCACTCTGTGAGAAACGCTCATGACAACAAAGTCTCCTTATGTACAATGAAACACAGTCAAAGAGATTTGATACTAAAAAATAAGACTAAAAGCTTGTTTAAGAGTCAATTTAATAACAATTTAAAATAAATCTGTAGTTTCATTAAGATGATGCTATTGATATTTTCTTGGTTACAGACACATTATTAAAGTTTTGGGTAAATTGTATTGACACTTCTTAAGATTCTTTCTCATGCTTAATAAAGTGTGCTACCTAGTTAACTCTTGTCTACATTAGCAAAGCAGATAATACAAACAGGAAAAATAAGAATTCACTGATACTTAGTCCTTGTGGGAATCGTGCTTTTATCCCAGCAGTTTTACACGGTAGCTGGCGTTCCCTGAGCATATTCTGAATTGCACTGTAGGGAGAGGTTGTGCTCAGTTGTAGGGTGGGGGGAATGCACTGCCTCAGGATTAAAAAACTAGTTCTGTGACCTTGAGGAAGTCATTTAAATTTCCATGGTCTGGGTTCCCCTCCTGTGTGAAAAGAGAAGGTGGAGTTCAACCTCTAGGATCTTCTCCAATTTTCACATTTTATTGATCTTTGTAGAAAAAACATCAGGAGGCCAGGCGCGGTGGCTCACGCCTATAGTTCCAGCACTTTGGGAGGCTGAGGTGGGCGGAATGTCTGAGCTCAGGAGTTCGAGACCAGCCTTTGCAATATGGTGAAACCCTGTCTCTACTAAAATACAAAAAATTAGCTGGGTGTGGCAGCGTGTGCCTGTAGTACCAGGTACGTGGGAGGCTGAGGCAGGAGAACTGCTTGAACCTGGGAGGCAGAGGTTGTAGTGAGCTGAGATCAGGCCAGGCCACGGCACTCCAGTCTGAGCGAGAGAGTGAGACTCCGTCTCCAAAAAAAAAGAAAAGAAAAAACATCAGGAGTTATGTGGGACAACAGCAAGTCATTTCTTCGAGAAGAATCTTGATCACCAAGGAATATTCACAACATACAGTCAGATAACGAGGGCTAACATGGAAGAGAGACCCACACATTTAAATCACCCAGCAAATATTTCCAAGGATTAATTGTAGCACATTTTTTGAAAGACATGTCAACCTCTGGATACACTGAAGAATGTATCCCACGTTGCAGATATGGGAAGCCTGTGGGGCCCACAGAGTTCTGGAGAGGCCTCGGGAGACTACGAGAGCCCCTGGTTGCTAATGCTTGTCATTCTAGTTGACCTTGCTGGTGGTCTATTAGGCTAGTGGTTCAGTATGCAGATGAAATGAAACGTGGAACCCAGTTTATTATCAGAACAACTACAAAGAAATGGGCCCCTGTATAAGACTGGACTGTCAAATCCCTGTCCTTTTCCTCCTTCCTTCAACAGTGGGTGTGGAGTGACTACAACCGACCAGAACCACGTGTCATGGCTGAGTCACATCCTCTTGCCCTTGGAATAAGAGCTCCCCACGGAAGGGACGTGGGGAGCCTGGACCATAGTGCGTCTCTCTTCCAACACATCCAGTCACCCCTGGCATGTGCCACTTACACTACATGTTCACAGAATTTTTTGTAAAAGTAAATACCAATTATAGTGAGGAAGAATTTTGACCATGAAATATTTTAAAAACAAACAAAAGCTTCTATTTCATTTAGCATTTGACACAGAAGAGCCCACATGTGAATAAAAACACATTAAATCTTCAGAGCACTTTCACTGTGGTTTTGGACCTCAGGTATAACAAATGCTTACATTGACAAATCCAGAATTTCTTTTGTAATTTATTTTTACAAATTATACCATGATAACATTTGACAAAAATTATTCATGTGAAAGTTTCCTTTAACATTTTATAAGTTAATCAAGTGCATACCACAATAGATTTTTGGTTGTTTAAATAGGATGTTCTCGTGATTTTAGTATTACACAACTTTAAGCTGAGACGACACTCAGAAATAAGCTTAGAAAATGGCATTACAAAAGACTGGGAGTGAGCAGTAAAAAACAAAACAAAACAAACCCACGCAGGGCTGTGGTGCTGCAGGAAATCAGATGTTTTCACTGCCATAAGTCTTCAGTGCGGCCAAACTTAAAAACCAGTCCTCTGTGAAAAAATCAAGAAATACCACATGACTCCCTGAATTTGAGAAAAGACTATGTGAGATTTTCAGAATAGTGTGAAACAAGCAACGAAGAATAATTGATGAGTTGTAGAAAAAATGTTGGTACAAAATGTATGAAAACAGAAACTGATCATTCTAAGGTAGTAAATTCTTCCGTTACACTCAACGGTGCTATTTACCACCATCCTCCCAACAACCTTAACTTTTGAGTATTGAAGACTCATGTGACTTTTAAAAAGTTAACCAGTGTTTACTATGTAACCATTATATGTCTGAGTTTATCAAATTCATTCAACAAACTGTTTTGGTGCCAGGGCTATAAGATAAGACACATAGCTACTGCACTCAAATTGCTCCCATTTTGCTAACCAATATGGTACGTGTGGGGGTGGCTGGGAAAGGAGGCTTATATACTAAGTATTAAGGGGCACAGAAACACAGAATTCAGTTGCCCTGAATAAGTTAGAAAAGGATTTACAGAGGTAATATTTGAGACGGGCTTTTATGGAAAAACAAGTTTGAATAGGACAATTGTATGCATAAAATAACAGCTGAGGTGTTAGTAGAACAAGGAGGAATCTACCATGGCCAGATGACAGTTTAGGAGATGAGGAGGCAGGGAATGGACACAGCCAGGCTCTGGAAAGCCAACTGCCCCGGGTGGCAAATTACCTACAGGTTCCTTAGATGAGCCAGAGTGCAGATGGCTGCCTGGGTGCCACTAAATGAAATGGGGCTATGGGCCAGGCACAGTGGCTCACACCTGTAATTCCAGCACTTTGGGAGGCTGAGGCAAACAGACTGCTTGAGCCCAGGAGTTTGAGACCAGCCTGGGCAACATGGCAAATGCCAGCCTCTACAAAAATACAAAAATTAGTTGGGCATGGTGGCACGGGCCTATAATCCCAGATCTCTGCTCTTCTAGTTAATATCAGATCTACTGCTGTAACAAAGAAAAAGTGACATTGGTTATTAGAGGCCTCTACTGTCCAAATAGCTTAAAAGAGACACTGTAACTCCACCATATTTCTCACAAGCTATGAACTCTAATCTAGAGTTTCTTGGGAAAGAGCCAGGGCCAGTCCCTCCTACAGTGTCAGATTATCATCTCTGGTACTGACATCTGCCCATTCTGACTTCTGAAACAGTAATTCCATGCTGCTGCTGAGTACTATTCTGTTATGATCAGAATGGCAGGTGTCCCCTCCAAATCTCCTGTTGAAATGTGATCCCCAGCATTGGTGGTAGAGCCTAGTGGGACGTGTTGGTCATGGGTGGCAAATCTTTCATGAATGGCTTAGTGCCATCCCCTTGGTGATGGGTCAGTTCTCACTCTGTTAGTTCACATGCGAGGTTGTTTGGAGGAGACTGGTACCTCTTCTTCCCCTCTCTCTGGCTTCATGTGATATGCCGACTCCCCCTTTGCCTTCTGCCATGATTGGAAGCTTCCTCAAGCCCTTACCAGAAGCAGATGTTGACACCATGCTTCCTGTTCAGCCTGCGGAACCGTGAGCCAAAATAAACCTACTTTCTTTCTAAATTACCCAGCCTCAGGTAACCCTAAATAGCAATGCAAATGGACTAACACAGCAGGCAATCTGCTACAACTATTCTAACAGTGTCCATTAACCGAATTCAGTTTGCTTACAGGATACAAGGTATAACCTAAAGAGGCTGTGCATCTTGTCACATCTAAGTTTGCATTCTTCTTATTTCCAAACTGATTTTATAATATGGCAAAGATGCCTGGTGATGGAATAGGTGTGATTACCAACTGGTGACTCTTACTGAAGGGCAACTATTAGTATTTCAGTAGACATGGGATTTTTTTTCTTTTTTGGAGGTGGGTAGGAAGGGATGGGGAAGGAAAACCCCTGGAATATACATCAGATTCCCAGCCTTTTTTGGATTAGAGATTTCTTTGAAAATCTGATGAAAGCCACAAACTGTCTCTTTCCAGAAATACGCAAGACACCAATTTCCTGCATATGGAAATGTCTGGTGATTCAAACCTTCAGAAGGCTTCTGACAGAATAAAGATTAAGAACTCCTGATGCAGGCTGTGTGTGGTGGCTCATGCCAGTAATCCCAGCACTTTGGGAGACTCAGATGTGAGCAGATCACAAGGTCAGGAGTCAGATATCAGCCTGACCAACACAGTGAAACCCTGTCTACTAAAAATACAAAAATATTAGCTGGGCGTGGTGGTGTGCGCCTGTAGCGACAGCTACTTGGGAGGCTGAGGCAGGCGAATCACTTGAACCTGGGAGACGGAGGTTGCAGTGAGCCGAGATTGAGCCACTGCACTCTACCCTGGTGACAGAGCAAGGCTCCATCTCAAAAAATAATAATAAAATAAGAGGGAACTCCTGATGCAGAGGATAAAGAACTGTTTTGTTTGTGGGGTCTCATGGCCAGGGGCAGGGGAAGGTTGTAGGGGGGGTTGGAGGGGGTGGTAGTGGCTGGAGGAGTAGCACAGGTAGAGAAAAGGGCTGGCCCTAAGTTTCTAGGAAAGATGAACATCAGAGAACACTGATAAAAGCCTTGAGGTTTTTAGAGGTTTTAGTCATCTTTTCATTTGTAATTGAAAGGAAAGGATAAAAAAATCTTTGGGCCTTTCTTCCACACCTCAAATCTCACTCAGAAATTCTACAATATCAAGGACAGAAGAACTATACAATATATCAGAAACCAAAATGTAAGGATAAGTGGTTTTAGGCAGGCTTTCGTTTAAAGCAACTGTTAAGGATCTAAGTTTAAAATGAACATCACCAGCGTTATGTAACTAAATCTGCATGAATCATAGTTACTCACTCATTAAAAGGGGGGGCATGGTGGCAATCTTAAAAATTAATATGTACTCTTAAGGTTGGCAGAAAACCAACTCATCTATTTAAAATATCTTTCTCAACCTTATTCTTCATGTTTTATGAAAATATCATGGAGGAGAGCATTGAATGAGTAATTAAGCAACTAAATATAGTAAATGATACAAAAGAAGCTATTACTTTTTTTAAAAAAAGGTAAGATAAAGAATGCAAAAGAAACTTACCCAAAAAAGATGAAGGCATTCTGGAAAAATACAGCAATTCCAGGGTATACTACAACTTTTTCTGTAAAAATAATTGTGGTGTTTAGAGGGTTATGGTCTCAAAACATTTGGTTTCAGATATATTGACAAACATCAGTTTTCCTGCCTAGAAGAATTGATTTTTTATGGAATTAGGGTTGGCTTGAGTATTAAATGACATAATGTGTGACAGAGTCTAGCATTGCTTTAGTAAATGTAAACATATATTTACTGAGGGCATACTATATGCTGGCTCTATTTAATGCTGAGGATACTGCAATAAACAAGACAGGTAAGTTATTTTTTTGTCCTCATGGAGCTAGACAATACACTCAATAAAAAGAAGATAACATGTCCGGGAGTGGTGGCTCATGCCTGTAATCCCAGCACTTTGGGAGACTGAGACGGGCGGATGATGAGGTCAAGAGATCGAAACCATCCTGGCCAACATGGTGAAACGCTGTCTTTACTAAAAAATATAAAAATCAGCTAGGTGTGGTGGTGCGTGCCTATAGTCCCAGCCACTTGGGAGGCTGAGGCAGGAGAACTGCTTGAACCCAAGAGGCGGAGGTTGCAGTGAGCAGAGATTGCACCACTGCACTCCAACCTGGCACCTGGTGACAGAGCAAGACTCTATCTCAAAACAAGAAAAAAAAAAAAAAAGATAACATAATGCAGGAAAGGTAGAGAAGTGCAGTGTGACATCAGACACAGGTGGCCAGGAAGACCTCACGAGAAGGGGACACTGGAGTAAGGACACACAGGAAGTGAGGGCAAAAGCCACGCATGAGCCCTGAGGGAACACGCGGTGTATTACAGAAACAGCCGCAGGGACAGGGTGAGGGCAGCTGGCTAGTGGAGATCTGATAGTCACAGTGAGGACTCAAGATTTGTACTCTGAGTGACATAAGAAGCCACCAGGTTGTGAGCAGAAAAGTGATGAACTGACGTATTTTAACAGGATCCCTCTGGCTGCTGTGCTCAGAGTAGATAAAAGGAGGCGACAGAGGAATAGAAAGCAGTTAGGAGGCTCTTCCAGGAAATCAGGTAAGAAATTATGATGGATTGAACCAGGGTGGCAGCAATGGAGATGGTAAACAGTGGTTAGATTCAGGGTACATTTTATAGCACAGTCAACAGGATCTACACACTGGATGCGGGGTGTGGGAGGAAAACAAGTGTCATCTTTGACAGGCCCTAACTATCCAGGGCTTTTGGCCTAAACACCTGGAAAGATAGAATAGCCAGCTATTAACTAAGATTGGAAGGACAGCCAGAGCAACATTTTTTTCTGATTGTATCCAGAACTGAAGTTGAAATTCTCATAAATTTCTACTACTGGAATTGTCAACGATTGCTCATTAATTGACAGAGGCAAGATAAAGAGGTGGATTATCAAAATTTTCTCATTTCAGAATGGCTTTGGTTAATCTGATTAACATAACAGATGGTTTGCAGTCTTCACTACTATTCCACATTAAATAACCATTACCACCAGAATGGCTGATAAAAATGTTATAAAGTCAACTTTATAACATTATAGATCTACTGCTAATAATTCTCAAAGCATGACTTTGCTCCAGATGCCTTCAAGAAAATAGCCTAAAACTATGAGATGAAGATATTCCCAAAAAAAGGGGCTCTGGGGGCCGGGCGCAGTGGTTCACAAGGTCAGGAGATCTGGCCAACATGGTGAAACCCTGTCTCTACTAAAATAAAAAAATTAGCTGGGTGTGGTGGTGCATGCCTGTAGTCCAGCTACTTGGGAGGCTGAGGCAGGAGAACTGCTTGAACCCAGGAGGCAAGATGCAGTGAGCCGAGATCGCGCCACTGCACTCCAGCCTGGTGCCTGGCCACAAAGCGAGACTCTGTCTTGAAAAAAAAAAAAAAAAGAGGGGGGGGGCTCTGCATTAATAGTTGTATCTGGGAAATAATTATCAGTAATTTAATTTTCTTCTTTTGAGTTCTTTTACATTCTTAGTTTTCTATAATGAACAAGTATTATGCAATTCCCACGATAAAAAGGGTAATTTTTTTCCTTTGTCTTTTTGAGAGAGTCTCGCTGTGTTGCGCAGGCTGCCACAGTGGGGTGATTGCAGCTCACTGCAACCTCCACCTCCTGGATTCAAGAGATTCTCATGCCTTAGCCTCCCAAGTAGCTGGAATTACAGGTGAGTGCCACAATGCCTGGCTAATTTTTTTATTTTTAGTAGAGATGGGGTTTTGCCATGTTGACCAGGCTGGTCTCAAACTCCTGGTCTCAAGTGATCCAGCTTCCCAAAGTGCTGGGATTACAGGTATGAGCCACTGCATCCAACCACATATTTTAAAATATATATATATATGTGGCTGGGCGCGGTGGCTCACTTCTGTAATCCCAGCACCTTGGGAGGCTGAGGTGGGTGGATCACTTGAGGTAAGAAGTTCAAGACTAGCCTGGCCAACAGGGCGAAACCCTGTCTCTACTAAAAGTACAAAAATTAGCTGAGCGTGGTGGCGGGTGCTCTGCAATCCCAGCTTCTCAGGAGGCTGCGGGCAGGAGAACCACTTGAACCCAGGAGGTGGTGGTTACAGTGAGCTGAGATTGCTTTACTGCACTACAGCCTGAGCAATAAGAGCAAGACTCCATCTCAAATAAAGAAAACATATATATATATTTCAAATTATAAGTTAGTTATAATAGTTGTAATTTATAATATGTTACATGCAAACCGGGAATAAAAATTATGATAACTAAAAACAAGAAAAAAGAACAAAAGGAAATAAACCAAAATATTTAAGAGTAGTCAAAGTATTATTACTTCTTTTCTTTCTTCTCTTCTCTTTTCTCTTTTTTTGAGACAGGGTCTCACTTTGTCACCCAGCCTGGAGTACAGTGGTGTGATCACGGCTCACTGCAATCTCCTACCTCCCGGGCTCAGGTGATCCTCTCACCTCAGTCTCCCGAGTAGCTGGGACCACAGGTACACGCCACCATACTCGGCTAAATTTTTATTATTATTTGTAGAAATGGGGTCTCCCTATGTTGTCCAAGCTGGTCTCAAAATCCTGGCCTCATGCAATACTCCTTCCTTGGCCTTCTGAAGTGCTAGGATTACAGGCATGAGTCACTGCACCCACCCTCTTTTACTTTCTACATTTTTGGTAACATGATTTTAATAATAAGTTATACATGGCCCAGCCTGGTGGTTCACACCTGTAATTCCAGCTCTTTGGGAGGCTTAGGCGGGCAGATCACTTGAGCCTGGGAGTTTAAGACCAGCCTGGGAAACATGGTGAAGCCCCATCACAATAAAAAATACAAAAAATTAGCAAGGTGTGGTGGCATGGGCCTGTCTTCCCAGCTACTCAGGAGGCTGAGGTGGGAGGATTGCTTGAGTCTGGGAGATGGAGGTTGCAGTGAGCTGAGACACTGCACTCCAGCCTGGGTGACAGAGCAAGATCCTGTCTCAAAAAAAATAAACAAACATAAAAGAAAAAATACAAATATTTAGAAATATCTATAACTCCTGTCTATGAGATGAAATGATTTTAATAAAAATTTAGGAAACATTATTTTAATCTAAAAGTCGTATTTTATTCAAAGAAGTAAAGAGTTAAAATGTGAGCTAAATGAGATATAAGCCAGTCCAGCTTTTATAAATCATTAAAACTGTATTTTTACTATGACGGCTGTGGCAATTTTACCTGGACCATTAAATGGATTTGCTATTTTTCTGAAGTCCCTCACGGTGAAATTTCTGCCAGGGATCCAACAGTACACCTCTTCATGAGCTTGCCTTAAACTCGCCTTATATTATAGCAGGCGTATATTAAATGTTAGTTTACTTTTCTGTCTAAAAGGAGATGACATCATATTATCAGGGAGGTTTCACTGAATAAATCTCAATTCTGGGATGTTAGAGCTTTACACAGATATTCTTGAAGTCAGACCTTGTTAGGCCAGGCTTGAGGCCAGGAGTTCAAGGCCAGCCTTAGCAACATAACAAAATTGCATCTCTACAAAAAATAAAAAATGAGCTGGGTGTGATGGTGTGTGCCTGTGGCCCTAGCAGCCTGGGAAGCTGAGGTGGGAGGATGGTTTGCACTCAGGAGGTTGAGGCTGCAGAAGATTAAAGAAAGAAGTATTAAAAATATACAAGGTAAACAAAACCAAACAGTGTTTGAGGGAACACTGTTTGGTTTTGTGGGGAGGGGAGTCCTCAGATATAAATGCCTTGCTTTTAGTTGGCCTATCTACAGGAAAAAAGATTTATCCTAAAATAATCAACTTTAATGCAAAATTCCAGTATTCTACTGAAGTAAATTGGAACATATGTTTTCTCTTACCTTTAGCAACATAACCTCCAAAAAGAATCCACATAGATGCAATCAGAGAGCCAAAGGCCAACATGAAACCAATGAACAGCCAAATACGAGCACCTTGAAAGAAATAATATTTTACCAGAATTGTTCCTCATATGGCAGTACAATTAACTTTCAAAAAGAAAACAAAACCCAAACAGAAAAAAAAGTGCAGCTGCCATTCCAGTCTAATGTAAGAACAGGAGAAGATGCGTTAAATGTCTTTCATCAGTGCAGACGCTGGCCTTTTTCTTCTTGGATGGTCTGCATCGATTTCTTAAAAATTATTATTTATTAGTCTGTTTAAGTGCATATACTTACTTTCCCCAGCTGCCTACACTGAGAAAACCTGTACTCAACCTTCCTATAAAACATCTCATAAAGTATGTTTCACCACATTTAGAGGCTCATTCTCCATATGCTTTTACATGGAGAATGCTCCCACATTTTTCAAGTCCTCCAAGAGTACTTTCAAACAATAACACAGATCTACAGTAAAAAAGTCATACTCGGTGATGTACGAATCTCAGAGCTACCATATTTCACTTTCAGGGAAGTCAGGAAACAAAATAAATTCAAATTTGCTGTGACTGGCACTTTAAAGTTGCATTAAAATTAGGTTAATAGAGAACGACCAGCTTTCAAATGACATTAATATGTTTACGAAGATTTGCTATAAATAATAAATGGAGTCATGACTGCTTAAAATAAATTCTGATAGGGCCTCTTTATTTAATTAGCACAAATACATTTTAATAAAAACACTGCCTACAGCTCAATAAAGCACAGCAAATAGAATGTTGTATATTAATTCCTAATTTCAAGCCCAAAACATAAAACAGTACATTCAAAATAAGCTGTTACTCACAGATATATTAAAATAAATACACAAGTAGTACTTCCATGTGAAATTCTCATTTTAAGGATTTAAGCATATGTAATAAGATGTTATTTGCACCTATTTACCTGTTTGACCCAGACAACCTTCACTGTAACTATCACCTCGGACTTGTCCATTTGATACTGCATTAATCCTGTATCAATAAAATAAAACCAAGAAATCAGGGTCCATGACACCAATGACCAGAAACGACAATCTACAGTTGCTCAAATTTAAGATTAGGCCTTAAAAGCTTTTTTATTTTTGAAGATATAGGGTCTCACTCTGTTGCCCAGGCTAGAATGCAGTGGCATAACCATGGCTTACTGTAGCCTTGAACTCCCGACCTCAGGTGATCCGCCCGCCTTGGCCTCCAAAATACTTGGATTATAGGCGTGAGCCACCATGCCCGGCCAATACATTCGTTTTTAAATTAAACCAACAAATAAATGTTCTTGGGTTACTGGTTCTCAGCTCTGGTTTTCCTTGCTGAGCCATCTGAATAAACTGCATAGCCCTCTATGAGACACCACAATCCTGTCTTCACTATTAGGGACACTTAGGAAGGAATGATCTCTATTTATTCTCTGCTATTACTATTTTTCTATATGTTCATAGAAATGATTTTAATAAAATCATTCATAGAAAGTTACTAGTTAAATAATGTTTTTCCTGAAACATCTGCTATTTGTCAACATAATGCTCCATAACTGGGGGCTAGGTGTGCTCCTGGTGTTGGGGTATAGCTGTTCTGGGCACTCTTGGTGGACAGAGCTGTCACCACTGCTTTCCCTGTCCTCATGAGGACAGCCTCTTCACCTGCTCAGACTCCAGTATCCCACTTAGGGCTGCCTTCTCCATCCTGCACCCTGCTGCCTGGCCCCTCCACCTCACCCTGCTCAGGACCTGGGCCCATGCTGAGCTGCCCTCCTATGGGAGCCCCTTCCCACCCTGCCTGAGACCGGCAGCCTGCTCTGGGCCACCACAGCTTGTCTTTCTATAGAGGATGCCTGTCATGCTTGACCCCACCTAACAGCTTTTTGACTGAATTTTTCAGGAAGAGGAGAGGAAGAAAAGAGTTAAATATTACTTTAAAAACACAGATATGTGTTAGAGGGAGAGAACAGAAGAAAACACTGGCAGAATATCTGTTGAAATGTTATAGTTTGGCGAGATTACAGGCAACTTCATTTTTGCTTATTTGTATATCCTACATTTTCAAAACTAAAAAATACAGAATAATAGAACATTAATTAATATTTTTTAAAGCCACAAAATCCTAGAACTTTTATAATAAGAGAAAAAAGAATAAAGTTATTAATGAAAGAGTAGGTGCTTTTTGACTCCTATCCATTTGAATTATATTAGTTTTTGTTTAAAATTATGGCCTGACACTATAATGAAAAGATGTAAGCTGAAGGCAAATACATGATAAACATTTATAAAAACCTGAAGTCAGCTCTGCTATAATTATGTAAATGCAACAGAATGCAAGTTTAGCAGGAAGCACTTTTGAACAATACATTCAATCTCATATATAGCTACACTTCCCCTCCAAAGTCAGACTTGCTACTGCTTCAAAGCAGAACAAAATAATTTTTTAAAGATCCGAGGACAAAAGCAGGACAAAAATACAATCACAAAAAGAAAACTTACATCTAAACCATGTTGAAATTTATGTGTCAGCTTTCTAAAATAATTTTTTTTTTTTTGAGACGGAGTTTCGCTCTCGTTACCCAGGCTGGAGTACAATGGTGCGATCTCAGCTCACCGCAACCTCTGCCTCCTGGGTTCAGGCAATTCTCCTGCCTCAGCCTCCTGAGTAGCTGGGATTATAGGCACACGCCACCGTGCCCAGCTAATTTTTTTTGTATTTTTAGTAGAGACGGGGTTTCACCATGTTGATCTCGTGATCCACCCGCCTCGGCCTCCCAAAGTGCTGGGATTACAGACGTAAAATAATTTTTTTTTTTGAGATGGAGTCTTGCTCTGTTGCCCGGGCTGGAGTGCAATGGCACAATCTCAACTCACCACAACCTCCGCCTCCCAGATTCAAGCGATTCTCCTTGATGCCTCAGCCTCCCAAGGAGCTGGGATTACAAGCACCTGCCACCATGCCCAACTAATTTTTTGTATTTTTAGTAGAGTTGGAGTTTCACCATGTTGGCCGGGTTGGTCTCAAACTCCTGACCTCAGGCAATCTGCCTGCCTTGGCCTCCCAAAGTGCTAGCATTACAGGCGTGAGCAACCGTGCCCGGCCTTTCTAAAAGAATTCTAACAGCATCATTATTACAGTAAAATAAATTGCCACAAAATGGAAAGAACTAGAAATAGCTGCATACTGGCTGAACTTCAAAGAAAGACCACAGCCCTTTGCCATCAGTGGCTTCTGAAGTCAGACCTTTACTTCTGCAAATGAGTAACTACTCTGGCACTGAGCCCATACCAGGCAGTCACACTGGCTGCCTTTAGCCACTTGCTTAACTCTGAAAATATAAGTTACTGTGTTTACACTCAAGTAACTGTAGCAAAATTTAAAAATGTGTGTGATTTTCAACTTGGATTGCCTGGAGCCCTGGAAGAGATGCCTTTACAACCTAAATGAAAAGTCTACAGAAGGCTGGGCATGGTGGCTCACACTTGTAATCTCAGTACTTTGGGAGGCCTAGGCAGGCAGACCACCTGAGAGGTCAGGAGTTTGAGCCTGGCCAACATGGTGAAACCCTGTCCCTACTAAAAATATAAAAATTAGCTGGGTACAGTGGTAGGCATCTGTAATCCTAGTTACTTGGGAGGCTGAGGCAGGAAAATTGCTTGAAACCAGGAGGCAGAGATTGTAGTGAGCCGAGATCATGCCACTGTACTTCAGCATGGGCAAGTGAGGCTCTATCTCAAAAAGAAAAAAAAGGTCTACAGAAAGCTAATGGACAACGGTAGAGGTCAGGACAAGGGCTATACAGGTGTGGTGGAAGTGTTTAGAATGTTCTGGGATGACGTTTGAAATCTTAATCTAGGTGCTGTTTACACGGGTGTATACATAAGTAAAAAATTATTGAGATGTATATATGACTTGTGCACTTTGTATATCTCACTAAATGCTTCTTTTTTTTTTTTTTGAGATGGGAGTGTCACTCTGTCTCCTGGACTGGAGTACAGTGCTGCAATCTTGGCTCACTGTAATCTCCGCCTTTCAGATTTAAGCTGTTCCCCACCTTGGCCTCCCGAGTAGCTGGGACCACAGGCACGCATCACCATGCCTGGCTGATTTTTATATTTTTTGTAGAGATGGGATTTTGCCATGTTGGCCAGGCTGCTCTTGAACTCTTGACCTCAAGTGATCCGCCTACCTTGGACTCCCAAAATGCTGGGATTACAGGTGTACGCCACCATGCCAGGCCAGAATACATTTTATATTAAAATTTTAAAATAATAAAGGTGGACAGGCACAGTGACCTACACCTGTCATCAGGGCACTTTGGAAGGCAAAGGTAGGAGAATCACTTGAGATCAGGAGTTCAAGAACAGCCTGGGCAACACAGTCAGACCCCTCTTTACAAAAAAAAAAACTCTTTAAGAAATAGTGGGGTGTGGTGGTGTACACAAGTACTCATAGCTACTGGGGAGGCTGAGGTCAGAGGGCTGCTTAGGCCCAGGAGTTTGAGACGGCAATGAGTTATGATCATGTTATTACACACTGGCCTGGGTGACAAAGTGAGACCCTACTCCTAAAACATTTTTTTTAATTTAAAAAGGACAGTCTGATTCTTTGGTAGTTCCTAGGTGTGATGATTGGGAATTCATGCACACATGTGAGATGTGCCTCCCTCAAACCTTGTTTTACATCAGCGCCTTACCCATCTAACATGAAAAAAAAAAGGCCCACAGAGAGTTGATCCCTACAGGAAGCATTCATAATTAAGGAAACAAGAAAGGCCCTTAGAAATTAAAACATGAGAACTCAAATGCAAAAATATTCAGGAGATTGGAAAATAGAATAAAAAGATAGATGAGGGCTGGGCAAGGTGGCTCACGCCTGTAATCCAAGCAGTTTGGGAGGCTGAGGTGGGCGGATCAATTGAGGTCAGGAGTTCGAGACCAGCCTGACCAACACGGTGACACCCTGTCTATATTAAAAATACAAAAATTACATGGTGAAACCCTGTCTCTACTAAAAATACAAAAAATTAGCTGGGCATGGTGGCGCATGTCTGTAATCCCAGCTACTCAGGAGGCTGAGGCAGGAGAATTGCCTGAACTCAGGAGGCGGAGGTTGCTGTAAGCCAAGATCGTGCCATTGCACTCCAGCCTGGGTAACGAAATCGAAACTCCATCTCAAAAAAAAAAAAAAAAAAACAAAAATTAGCTGGGTGTGGTGGCGTGTGCCTGTAATCCCAGCTACTTGGGGAGGCTGAGGCAGGAGAATCCCTTGAGCCTGGGAGGTAGAGGTTACAGTGAGTAGAGATCGTGCCATTGTACTCCAGCCTGGGACAAAACTTTGTCTCAAAAAATAAATAAATAAAAATAAACAGGCCAGGCATGGTGGCTCACGCCTGCCCCAGCACTTTGGGAGGCCAAGGCAGGTGGATCATGAGGTCAGGAGTTCAAGACCAGCCTGACCAACATGGTGAAACCTCGTCTCTACTAAAAATATAAAAATTAGCTGGGCGTGGTGGCACATGCCTGTAATCCCAGCTACTCAGGAGGCTGAGGCAGGAGAATTGCCTGAACCTGGGAGGTGGAGGTTGCAGTGAGCCAAGATGGTGCCACTGCACTACAGCCTGGGCCACAGAGTGAGACTTTGTCTCAAAAAAAAAAAAATAAAATAAACAAATAAAACTAAAATAAATACTTTTATAAATTTATTGAGATGGACTCTCCCTCTGTCACCCAGGCTGGAGTGCAGTCACACGATCTCAGCTCACTGCAACCTCTGCTGCCCAGCTTCAAGTGATTCTTGTGCCTCAATCTCCCGAGAAACTGGGATTATAGGCACTTGCAACCACGCCTAGCTAATTTTTTTTTTTAATTTTTAGTAGAGACAGGGTTTCTCCATGTTGGTCTCAAACTCCTGACCTCAGGTGATCTGCCCGCCTCGGTCTCCCAAAGTGCTGGGATTGCAGGCATGAGCCACCATGCCCAGCAAATAAATACTTCTTGTATCCAAAACAAAGATGTGGTAACTGGAAAAATGTTTCCAACCCTGATAAACAGAGGAGGGAAGTCCCATGGTGACAACACAGTAGCAAACTCACACAGTAATCAATTTGCAATGAAATCAATTCTTATATAGGCTTCTTGGATGTCAAGTTCTAGAACAAAAGAGGTTATAATATATTAAAGAATTTGAGAATTTGGGAAAAAAATAAAGATGTGATAATAGTAGAAAATGCAAGAAAACAGAAGAAAGGCAGCTAGAAACTCCAGGAAAAACAAAAAACTAAACAAGGATACTACAGTCCACAGAGCTACTGTCCAAATTAGAACCGCAGCATTCAAGAAGAATGAAATGAATCCTAAAGAAAACATACATTCTGGCTGGGTGTGGTGGCTCACGCCTGTAATCCAAGCACTTTGGAGGCCAAGACGGGCGGATCACCTGAGATCGAGAGTTCAAGACCAGCCTGACCAACATGGTGAAACCCTGTCTTAAAAATAAAAATAAATAAAAGGATAGCTAAGAGATGCTGGGAGGGAGTGGAGAGGTGGACAAAAAGAACAAGAAGGACTGCTGTTTTTCTGTGTAAGTCCTTCTCTACTAATTTACTTTAAAATCATTTCCAGTATGTTAATCTGTTAATATTTAGAATTTTAAATCTATGCAACTGTATATGAAACATTTTTATTTTGTGGCAAGCTATGTAAGTAATGCCAATTATGAAGACACTTACATTAGGAAGGCTATGGTTGCTATAACACCACAGGCATGGTATGAGTGGTTGAAATCTTCCATGGGGGAATAAATAACAGCTGCATCTATGATAATCCACCAGCCTGTAAAAAACTAAAACAAAGGTGACACCAATGAGAAATTAAAGCAATTTCATATCTCACTAGCTAAAAGCAAGCAAGGTATTTAAGTGAAGAGATCCCTTTTAATAAATTTCAAAAATGTTCTAGCTATTTCTCACATGTGATTTGCACATGGCCTAACAGCTGATTAAATATTAGGTACCCTTACATCTGACAACAATTTATATTTATTGACTTAACTTTTCTCTAAGCCTACTTCAATCATTATTTCCTATTATCATAATAAAGCCTTATAGTATAATTTGGTGAACTAGAAACCAGTTATCTTCTGGAGGGGGAAAGGAAAAAGGTGACTCAGATTCCAACTGAAGGAATAAGTGCCCTGTTGATATAAACCTCCAGAAAAATATTCCCCCAAATCAAGAAAAACGCATTCAAATTAATATGGACAATTATTGCTGACAAAATTTTAGCTATCTTCTTGGTGTGAAGTAACAAGCTCTAAGGTTCTGCTTTTGATGAATTCCAGTGCAGGCTAAAGATGGTTTTGGGTGTGATTTTGAATTCAATTTAAACACCAGATTAGATTACAATTTATCTAATTTAATTTGGCTCCAGATATTACCAAGGGCAAAGATATAACAAGAAAAATGACCCCAAAACTGCACAAATTTTTTTCTCACCAGAAATTTACAATAAAATTATATTAACCAAATTCTGACAAGTAGCTTAGAAGGTTTTAAAAGTAACCCCCTTTTCTATCCTCACTCCCAACCCTGACTCAGCTCTGAGAACTGCCATCTTCTGGCACTTATTTAAAAATAACGATTTTAGGCTAGTCAAATTACTTTTATGAGATTACAGGCTATTCACAGCCGTGATCCCAATACTGATCAGAACGGGAGTTTTGACCTGCTCCGTTTCCAACCTGGGCTGGTTCACCCCTCCTTAGGTAACCTGGTGGTCCCCCACTCAAATCTATACTTGATTAATAACATTTTTAGTGGCTAGCATGAGTAAATACACCTTTCTTTTTATCTTCAGCTCAATGTATTCAAGGTATTTTCTTCATAGACTAAAAACTCAAAAGCTTTTTGGCCAGGTGTGAGGCCCTGTAATCTCAGCCCCTAGGGAGGCCAAGGCCAGTGAATCATTTAAGACCAGGAATAGGAGACTAGCCTGGGCAACATGGAGAGACCTCCATCTCTACAAAAAAAAAAAAAAAAAGAAAAAACTCAGCCCAGTGTGGTCGCCCTTGCCTGTGGTCCAGCATACTCTCCAGAGGATCACCTGAGCCCAGGAGGTTGAGGCTGTAATGAGCAGTGATTGCACCACTGCACTACAACCTGGAAGACAGAGTGAGTCCACATCTCCAAAATAAATCAATCTTTTTTTTTTTTGAGACAGAATCTCGCTGTTGTTACCCAGACTGGAGTGCAATGGCACGATCTTGGCTCACTGCAACCTCCGCCTTCTGGGTTCAAGCAATTCTCCTGCCTCAGTCTCCCGAGTAGCTGGGACTACAGGTGTGCACCACCATGCCCAGCTAATTTTTGTATTTTTTTTAGTAGAGACGGGGTTTCACCTTGTTGACCAGGATGGTCTCGATCTCTTGACCTCATGATCCACCCGCCTTGGCCTCCCAAAGTGCTGGGATTACAGGCTTGAGCCACCGCACCCAGACTTTTTTTTTTTTTTTGAGACGGAGTTTTGCTCTTATTACCCAGTCTGGAGTGCAATGGCGTGATCTCGGCTCACTGCAACCTCCTCCTCCTGGGTTCAGGCAATTCTCCTGCCTCAGCTTCCTGAGTATCTGGGATTACAGGCACGTGCCACCATGCCCAGCTAATTTTTAATATATTTTTTAGTAGAGATGGGTTTTCACCATGTTGACCAGGATGGTCTCGATCTCTTGACATTGTGATCCACCCACCTCGGCCTCCCGAAGTGCTGGGATTACAGGCTTGAGCCACCGCACCCAGCCATTTTTTTTTTAATGTTGCCCAAGTTGGAGTGCAGTGGCTATTCACAGGCGTGATCCCACTACTGATCAGCACGGGAGTTTTGACCTGCTCCGTTTCCGACCTGGGCCAGTTTACCCCTCCTTAGGCAACCTGGTAGTCCCCCACTCCTGGGAGGTCACCATATTGATGCCAAACTTAGTGCAGACACCCCCAATCAGCATAGAACTCTACAGCCCAGAACTCCTGGGCTCAAGCAATCCTCCCACCTCAGCCTCCCAAGTAGCTGGAACTACAGGCACGCACCACGGTGCCTGGCATAAATACATCTTAAAGCTTGAGAAAAAATATTTTGCCATTACTTTGAAAAAATATAGGATAATTATTTTTCATGGATTGTAAATATTAGAGATTAGGTGAAGAGGAAATACTTAAATTTAGATATTTATTTGTTCATTTACTTAAAATTTACTCTTTAGGGCTAGGTGTGGTGGCTCACGCCTGTAATCCCAGCACTTTGGGAGGCTGAGGTAGACAGATCACCTGAGGTTGAGAGTTTGAGACCAGCCTGACCAACATGCAGAAACCCTATCTCTCCTGAAAATACAAAATTAGCCAAGTATGGTGGTTCGTGCCTATGATCCCAGCTACTCGGGAGGCTGAGGCAGGAGAAATGCTTGAACCTGGGAGGCGGAAGTTGTGGTGAGCTGAGATCGCGCCATTGTACTCCAGCCTGGGCACAAGACTAAAACTCCAACTCAAAAAAAAAATTACTCTTTAGAGCCTATAACATCATATAATCATAAAAAACTAATAACAGATCCCTTGAGGGATCTTAAGTGTCAATAAGAATTTTATTCTGTAAATTACTTCTACACAATGTATTTTAATAAGTTTTTCCCTTTTTGTTTTTGCTTTTTAAAACAAAATTTAAAGGGGCCATGCTAATCTTCTCTGTATTGTTCCAATTTTAGTGTATGTGTTGCTGAAGCGAGCACTTTTTTTTTGCTTAATGAGGTTAAGAAGAAACTTAACTGGATTATGGAGAAATGCAATCCTATCTATTGACTGGTTTTGACCTGATTGCTTCTTAAACACTTCCTTGTACCTTAAAATACTCATTAAAAGGAAATACAATCCATATAGTAAATATGTTATTATGCCATTTTTACCACAGTTAAACTAACCCAACCACTCTATTAATCTAATTTTAAATCATAAACTATTCAAATGGAACTAATAGCTCTCTATAAGCAACAAAATAGCAATACTTATTAAAATAAGTACAGTGGTAAAAGATAAAATAAATAGTATATATTTTAAACATCCTGCAGAATTCAAAACCCATAAACACAAACGAACCAAAAAATGCGATCCAAATTACCAATGACACTTACGAGTACACCAGCAGCAATGGAAGCAATAGTATTGCGCTTTTCCCCCCAGTCAATGCATTCTGAGCATCTCAAGCCCTCTAGAAATCCAGACATTTTTTTCAGGTCACTTAAAAACAAACAAACGAGCAAACAATTAAATAAAGTACTTCCATTTACTTGCTTCAAACCTGAAAAATAATTAATAGCCCAGGAATAATTAGATAAAAGTGAAATTACAAAACTTTATTTTGGTTCCACATACTTCTTCAGAATATTTGATTTAGTTTTTGATGAATTTCCACATTATAACTTTGGAAAGTAACGTCTGGATTCATTTTGTAACTTTTTTAATGTAAAAAATAGTTTGGACTGGTGTGGTGGCTCATGCCTGTAATCCTAGCACTTTGGGAGGCCGAGGTGGGTGGATCACCTGAGGTCAGGAGTTTGAGACCAGCCTGGCCCACATGGCAAAATCCCGTCTCTACTAAAGTACAAAAATTAGCCCGGCATGGTGGCACATGACTGTAATCCCAGCTACTCGGGAGGCTGAAGCAAGAGAATCACTTGAACCCAGGAGGCAGAGGTCACAGTGAGCTAAGATCGTGCCACTGCACTCCAGCCTGGGAGACAGAACAAGACTCCGTCTCAAAAATAAATAAATAAATAAAAATGGTTCGGATATATTTAAGTAATATTAACAAAGGTGAGTCTCCAAATATTGAAAAAATTATAACTACCGGTTGACCTCCTCCTGAAATCTGTCACACCCTATCATTTCTAAGTAGGTATTAAATTAGCTTAGGTGATACTTTTAATACCAAGGATATGATTACTAATCCCAGGAGCTCTTTTGTTATCATTTTGATTCCAAACTAAGTTACTAAATGACTTTGATATTTACAGTCCAGAAGCACTAACATTAGTAGAGAGAGGAGTAATAAACTTTGGCTCTGAGTTAAAGTATAGATTCAAATGAAAATATTTCTCTTAGCAATTTACGTATTTTGTCACAGAACGTGTGTTTCTTCACACCTAGATTAAGAAATTAAACATTGCACTGCAGTTCTTGCCTCCACCCACATCACTTCCTTTCACTTCACTGCATTGTCTTTCTGCAAGCCTACCTTTTGGTGTTATTTCTACGTAAAAAACATCTACTTTATTTTAATATCCCTATCTCTGATCCTAACTGATGATTCCAGCCAAAAGAAAGCACTTAATTGTGGTTAACATTAAGATTACAAAAATCCAACTGCTATTTAAATTACCATAGCCGACCCAAACTGTCTTTACAAATTACATAAAACATTCTTGTAAGCCGAGCTGTATAGACTTGACTTGAGACACAGCCATATTATCTCTATTTCAGAGTATGAAAAAGCCTGAAATACGAATAACTTGAGAATAACAAAAAAACACCCAGACTCCTACTGCGAACCTGAGTCCCTTAAGTTATTTTGTAGCCAGCAATTGTCCAAATATGACACCCTAAAAAAGAGTAAAGACTTCAATTTTTCTCTTTTAAAAACTAAATATTAAAATATATGATTAGAGTCAGTGCTAAGATGCCTTTGGGACAAGTTCAATTTAGGAAATTCTCTTATTTGATTCTTCCCTGGGAAGAACTGGAACCCAGTAAGTGTTATTTTCGGTTCATCCCAATGGCCCCGCCCCAATCCACTGTTCTTTGCACGAAGACTGGCACGCTCAAGCCAGACCCCGCCCTCCAGACTGGGAATTTCAGGTCTCGAGGGACGCGGCTGGAAGATGGGGGAGCCACCTTCAGCCCAGCCACCCCTCGCTGAGGGAGCCGGCCGGGTCACGCGCCCTCTCGGGGCTTCGACCTGTCCAGCTGTGAAGTGGGGGACCGGGCGATTTCCAGTGATCCTGGGGTGTCCCGGAGTAGGGCGGAGTCCCCCTTCCGTCCTGGCGGGATCTAGGCGCCGCCGCCTTCTCCCAGCGCCGCCGGACCCAGGAGAGAAGTCCACGGCGGCTCAGCCCGGGTCTGCGGCTTTCCAGAGGGTGGCGGCAAAGAGCCTGTGGGCACCAGTTCGTCGGACTGGCTCAGCTCCGAGGCCTCTCCAGCCTGCGGCCGCTCCTCTCCTACCCCCACTCCCCGCCCAGCACTTACGTCCAGCTCCGGAGCCCGGTGTCGCGCCACGCCGGCCCGCCTCACCTTCCCGGTTTCAGCCAACAAAACAAAACAGCCACGGCCCGCAGACCCCGGATGTGGCAGTACCACCCCCGCGGCTCAGCCGCGCATGCGGATACAGGGGAGGCGGGGCGCCGGGTCTCTAGGGAGTCACGCCCACCGCGCCAACGCGTCTGCGCCTGCCCGGGCGCTTTGCGCTGGGGCTTTCCGCAGCTTTGGGTTCACAGCTGGAAGTCGGAAGTGCTAGATTGGAGTACGCTCTTCGAGGATAAGCGTGGAAGTTGCTCTGTGTGTTGAGCTTTCTAAAGGAAGGCATTCGTTGGTCTTTGTATCCGTCTTGAGTGAGGTGATGGTGTTTTCTAGTGCCGGGGTTGGCCCCGCAGCCCTCTCACGTGTGAGTGCCAGGAAGAGTGCCAGGCCCCACGTGGTGCAAAGTATTGAGGTTTGCAGTCACACAGCTCTACTCAGGGCTTTTCAGTCTCATTTATTTTCTCCGTTCTTGTCCCCGCCCTGCCTCCCCGCAGCTCCACCTCCCGGAGAGGGGCGGATTCAGGTCCAAGAGGCGAGGACTTCCCGGCTTGGCGAGGCTAGGGTGTCCCGTGGACCCTAGTCCCGGCGCGGCGACCTACTTATAGGACTTGGCCTTTCTTTGCGGTTTGTTTAAGGCAGAATTTCTGAGCCTGGATACTACTAATGTTTTGGGCCAGCTAATTCTGTCTGGGGTAAGGGGGGCTGTCCTATGCTTCCTAGGATGTGTAACTGCATCCCCCGCTTCTACCCACTGGATGCGAGTAGCAGCCCGAGTGAACCAAAATTGTCTCCAGACTTTGCCAAATATCCCCTCCCGGGGAAGATGGCCCGGCTTGAGAACCACTGTTTGGAAGAGAACCTGGGTTTTCCGGAGGTGACCCTTTTCAAAGGGGAGGACGGGAAGAAGCCGGAAGCAACGTTGTCTTAGCTCCGTGAACGACTTGCTGCCAGGCTCACCCCTCTTCTAGAAGCGGTCAGTCTGGGTCTCGCGTCTGGAATCGCCGTCAGGGAGTCGGATCCAGCCCTGGAGAGGGAACAGGGTCGAGATCTCGTTGCAGAAGGCGCCACCGGAGGAAGCACAGGAGCATCGCGCGGTCTTGCTAGCGGAGACGCTCGCGATCCTCTAGCTGCCGGTGGGAGAGGCGCTGGGTACCTCTCCTTGGCTCCTTTCCAGCAGCTGGTCCTGCTCGAGGGAAGGTCGTGTTACAGAAAGGCATATGCGATCACACAGGGGCGGCGCTGCTGTGGCTCTGACCCTATGGTGCACCCTAAATAACACAGAGGGTGGAGGGAGAGTCAAGTCGCGGAGCAGAACCCCCTTTCGCTTAAGTTAAAGGTGCGTCGTTTGTCATTGGGAGATGTGCACAGGTTCATCTGATTTACATGTACGGTGGCAGTATATGAGTGGGATGGGAACCAAGGTGACTCTGTTTTATGGCGGGGCACGGTGGCTCACGCCTGTAATCACAGCATTTTGGGAGGCCGAGGCGGGCAGATCACTGGAGGCCAGGAGTTCAAGACCAGCCTGGCCAACCTGGCAAAACCCTTTCTCTACTAAAAATACAAAAATTAGCCAGGCATGGGGCATGCCTGTAATCCCAGCTACTCAGGAGGTTAAGGCAGGAGAATCACTAGAACCCGGGAGGCAGAGGTTGCAATGAACAGAGATTGCACCACTGCACTCCAGCCAGAGTGAGATTCTGTCTCAGAAAAAAAGGAAAAAAGAAAATAGTATCGGTGACTTAGCCTGGGCATACCACACAAAGGAACATGCATTATCCTATCTTTCCCTTGATTATTCTATGAAACTGAGTAAAATTACATTTCCTGATTCAGAGGTTGCAACTAAAATATCCTGTGAGTGAACAAAAGAGGAGATTTTGGTAACAGACGTGCTGGCCCCTTACAGTGTAGAGCGGATTCTGTCAGATCTCACTAATGATCATGCTTTCTACAGGATAGCAAGTAATGGGTTGAATCACAGCAATAAAAAACTGCCCCCCGCCCCAGCTCTTAGGTACTTTGATTTTAAAAGTGGAGTTTCAAATCGTCTTCTTGATTCCCATGAAAATTTTGATGAAACTTCAGAAAACATGAAAGATTGTTGATAACATGTCCAAATACAAACTAGACTTTGCTCACCTATCTGCATATTCAGCAAATAGTGCAGATGTAAATTTTAGCAAGTTCCATTCAGTCTACAAACGTCTTTTTGTTGTTGTTTTGTTTGTTTTTAACTATGCTATAACAACTACATGCATAGCATCAGTCTACATTTGTCTTACCAAAGAAAAAAAAAAAGAATTTACCTGCTAAGTGGCCTGCACACCTGCTATCCAAGACTACTAAAAAGGTCTGTGATTTGCTTTCCTATGATATTGAGGCTTTCACAGTCAAAGTTTTGGGTTGCTTTTCAGTTTCCTCAAAGCATGCAGAGACAGTTAATGAGGTTTTTGACTTTGTCAAAATGGAAGGAAATAGACTCCATCATGTGCCCACAAGATGGCTATCGTTGTTGGCCACAGAAAAGATGTTAAAATGATGGCCTGCCATCAAGTCTTATTTTCAAAATATGGGAAAAGAAGAGTGTTCTCCGTGGGGTGCGGTGGCTCACACCTGTAATCCCAGCACTTTGGGAGGCGGAGGCGGGCGGATCACCAGGTCAGAAGTTTGAGACCACCAGCCTGACCAACATGGTGAAACCCGGTCTCTACTAAAAATGCAAAAATATTAGCCAGGCGTGGTGGCACATGCCTGTAATCCCAGCTACTCGAGAGGCTGAGGCAGGGGAATTGTTTGAACCAGGGAAGTGGAGGTTGCAGTGAGCCAAGATCACACCACTGCACTGCAGCCTGGGTGACAGAGTGAAACTCTATCTCAAAAAAAAAAAATTTAAAAAAGGAGTGTTCTTCTCTAATTTGGAAATACATCAGGGATGAGAATTA